TTCTGTGTAACTTAAATGAATTAAGCATTTAGGAGTTTAACTCCATCTTATTCCTGTGATGCAATAAGTGCAACCTACGATGTTCAAAAAGGTTAAGCTATTGCTTTTAATGACGTCTATATCTAGTAATTACAAGTGGGGTATAGTAGGATACTCTTTATAGATGCGGCCACCTATGTTAGTGTGAGCTGGGTCGGCTCGTTGAGAATTCTTAAAGGCTGGAATTCTCTAAAGCACTCGCAGAACCCGAGGATGTTCAGGGCCCAAAAGAACACAACCGAGAACTTGAACAAGTTCGTTTAGTATGGTGTTAATTTTATTGTCTTGGTTTACACAAACAGCCGACGGTTGAAGATGAAATAATTTACCGATTGGCTAAGTGAATCCGATAAGCTTTTACTAGGGAAGGTTCAAGATGAAATATTTTACCTATCCCGATGTTGTATTATTCACTAAGGAATTTTGACAAATAGATCTTATGTGATAAGATTGGAAGAACAATTTTATTCATGAGGGGAGTGTTGGAACTTTCATGATTTCCAATAATTAATATTGAATAATATTAATTGAATTATGTAAAGATTACTTTCATTTGATCATAATCATGAAGTAAAGTGAATGAAAATTGTCTTGATTAAATTCTTAAAGTTCAAAAGATGTGTGCTCGATGTGATCGAGTGATAGGACCAGTTTAGGTTTAGGTGTCCACAATTATTACTTTTGGGGACATTTAGTAATTAGTCAAATTAGTTGACAGTTTGGGTTTAGGTGTCCACAATTATTACTTTTGGGGACATTTAGTAATTAGTCAAATTAGTTAACCCAAAATCTAAATAATAAAATATTGGGTCCAACCCAAATATTTAATGAATTGGCCCATGACCAATTAATTTTCCTACGTTTTTTAACTCGGTGAAAAGAACAGACACAACTTTCTGCTTCTTCTTCCAACCATTGCAACCCTCTATGAATGGATCTCTACTAGGGGTGGAAATCGGAACGAAATTTCCGATTTCCGCCTATTCCGATCCGAATATTTCCGATTATGGAACTATTTTTTGTAATCCGATTTCCGAAATTCCGATTTCCGAATTTTCCGAAAAAAATCGGATCGGAATCGGAATTTGATATTAAATTTTCGGAATTTCCGAATTCCGATCCAAAAATAATTCCGAATAATTCCGAAAATTTCCGAATAATTCCGATTTTTCCGATTTTTTTAAATATTTAAAAATTATTATACCTTTATATATATATATATATATTCAATATTTTTATTCTAACTGGGGTATGACTTCCCAATTTGGACTGGGCTGCAAATTTTTATTTAAAAAAATTAACATATGACCCATTTGAATTGGTCCAACATACAAAGTTACAAACTACAACTTATCAAACCTAATCACCTAAATCATCTTCTCTTCTTCGTTCCTATAAGAGGTGCGCCGCTTCTTCTTCCAAAAAGAGAGAGAGAAAAAAAAAAGCGTAATCCAGGTCTCTTACTTCTTCGTTCTTCTCACTCCGACCTTTACTCAGGCTTCTTCTCCATCGTTAGTTGTTCCTCGTCGACTTCACTCTTCGTCAGTCGATCGATCTTCGTCATCTACAGAGAACCTTATTTTTATTTATTTTTTTAATTTCTGTAGATATTTCGTAATTTTAGGAGTTATTTATGTGTAACATGTCTATTTGTTCTGGTAATATGAAAGGAATAGAAATTTTTTATTGTTGTTGGGTTTTGATTTGTTCTTTGCTCTTTTCGATTTTTTTTTACATTTTATCTTCCTTTTCCAGAAAATTCCTAAAAAATTCCGAATTTCCGAAAATACCGAATATATCGGAATCGGAACTCGTTTTTAAATTCCGAATATTTCAGAATCGGAATCGGAATTGAGATTTCAGTTCCGAAAAAAATCGGAAATTTTCCGAAGAGCTTGTTTCCGATCCGATCCGTCCGATTTCCACCCCTAATCTCTACCACCTATAAATAAAGGCAGAATCTGGCCAATTCTGTACTGAATTTAATCGGCAATTACGAGATAGTTCTTCATATTCTTCTTTCCCTTCGTCAAAGTTTCGTTCGTTGTTCAAGTTCGTCGTAGGTCAAATATTCGTGCAAATATTTGACAACTGATCGTTGTACCTTGGGAGACTACCGGGAAGGGACTGTGCACCGTTGACAGCCCAGAATTATTGTCTTAAGGGAATTGTTTTGGCAAGCCTCGATCGTTTTTTGTGTTTTTCACAATTCCTCTTTTTGACAAACAAGTAAGTATTTTTCGTTTACGCGGGTTGTTATTAATTATACCAACACATGTAGATGCAGTTATTAGTTTTCATTTGGCATATTACTTTCCCAATTTGGATAATCGTACCAATTGTTATGATTTTTCAAAGAAATTGTGGACACAAATGTTTTAAACCTTTGTTTCGAGAACTCGTCAAACAAACACGAGTTAACTCCGTACCATGTGAATTGATGCCTGGAGTGGGTTGTATTTGATAAATAGAACGCCATAGAAATTGTATATTATGTTCGATTGTCGGTTATGGCATAAGATATAAGTTAGGATGTTTATATGAAATAGAAGTGGATAGTAAACGATTATGTTAGCATTGGATAACTTATTTAATTCTAATATTTGATAGGTGTTGAGTATATTTATGCTCTCATTTAAGACTTGAGCATGACTCGAGTGTAAGGTGTTTTTATAGCACTTGCATTGGACTTCAGGTGAGGATCTCTATTTATTCACTATTATTTATTGGAAAAATAGTATGCACACTGAGAATAAGATATCCGTTATTGCTTCTTGATCACTTAAATGTGATATATCTTACTTGTTGCCTATCGTGTTATAATTTGATTCTTGAATTGTTGAAAATAATGATTCATTCGGAATTCTCTTAACGGTTCGTATCTTCTTCCTCGAACTATCAAATAAGTTCTCATCTTGATTCGAGACTTATTCCAATAATTTATCATCCAGATTCTTTGACTACTCAATCGATCTCTTTTATCGACTCTTGAATAATTTGGAGTTTCAGTCCGATTACCTATTAATTGTGAACCGTTTCACATATTGACTTGTACTAGTTTGAACCACTTCTATTTTGATTCATTAAATCATTTGATTAGTTTCTACAGTGTTTCAATGAAAGTAAATCGTTCTTTTCCCGACTTTTGGACCATTTAGGATTATTGCGTTTATCCAGTAACTCATTCGTTGTGAATTGATGGATCATTCATATCTTGACTTCTCATTGATCCTTTGAAACCACTTGTCTTTCGAGCTATGCAACTACTGATTTTATTTTAACTGTAGACTATTGTTGATTGAGATCCATCTTCATCAATTATTATACGATCTTGAATTGTGGTTACTCTCTTATTGAAACCAGTGATCGTACACTTCTTGACTTTTGATTTTGTGACCACAAGATATTATCACTTGTTATTGGAATCCCAAAACTATTGAACTATGATAATTATTCTTTCTAAAGTGGAACCATCATTGGGATTCAAACTGTAAATTGAGATAGTCGGAAGCATATCTGATATCTTTATACTATTGATTCCTTTGGGGACGCCCTAAGGATAATTGAACAGTGGGCCTGGGGCTGTTCGAAAAAAGACTGTTGGGCGGTATTGGGCCGCGGTGGATGGTCTCTTCGACAGTACTCATATTGGATTCAGACCATTGGCATAGTTGGAGGTCAACTGTCCTGATGGATGGATCGGCATGCGCCCGGGCATGCATATTGATCGATTAGCAGGGTAGCTCATTGATCGGTGTTATAAGGTAGTAAGTCACTAGCAACGACTAAGGGAGTCACAAGGCAGGTTCAGGTACATAGGTACATGTACATGAACAAATTGTTACCATTGGAATCTCCATGGTCTCATATTTGATATCCAGAACTGTTACCGTGGGAATCTCCACGAAATATATATTTGATATCCGGGAATTTCCCGTTGAAATTGTTCTCTACTTGTACATATTGATTGTATTGCTTATTCTGATCAGATTGTTGTGCTCTCATACTTTGGCTTTGTATCTTACCAAATGATCCTTCTCTAGATGGTCCAATTCCAATATCATGTCCGACTTGTCCATTGTTTTCTTATTATCCTTATTACTTGATTCCACTATTTTTCGCTTGTACTCCTCACTAAGTCTACTTGGACTTACTCCTCCTTTATTTTCCATCTTATTCTCAGTAACAGTTGCATTAGTGGACGATATTGTTGATGGCTCTTAGGAGTAGAAGTTATTCAGATATTTTAGAGAGTTCATTTAATATAGAGTTGTGTTTAAGAATGATTGTAATTCGAGAACTATGAATACGAGTTTAGTTGTGGCATTTGGTTGTCACGTGTATTTGATTTTATTGTTGAGAAATTAAGTGAGAGACATTCTATTTATTGGAAGTAATTGTATTTATTTATTGTAAAAATCAAAAAGTACACTGTTTTTCGATAGTGGGCGTCAGACTTAGCGTACTCTTTGTTGATAGCGAAATGATGGGTGAAGCGATCCGTCAGTTCGGAGAGTTGACCTAGTGGGCAAGGAGTTGAACCAGCTCAATTCTTGTTCGGAGAGCGTTGTGCGAAACATCTTGCACATCGCCGCATCAGTTGGGCCATATAGTTCTGCCATGGCGCAGAACTTTTCAAGGTGCTCATGGGGTCACTAGTTTCATCGAACTGCAGTAGAATCGAGACTTTTACCCGTTGGGGTAGTATATCATTGATTATTGCGACAGTAAGGGACTTAGCCTTATTGAAGGTATTGCCCTTCCACCAATAGGATTACCTATTTAGGGAAGGTGGTTCGAGCGAGATATTCGACTATTAATTTCATCATCTCCACCATTGTGTGGTGGAGCACGTTGACGAGAGGTGTTGCCTCTTAGAGGTGAACGTGGGTCTCTTCGCCCAGTTTTTGCATAATAACGATGAGTAGATTGTTGCATCCGAGACCTAGGACTTGAGGTGGATGCGGTATTCGGTGGCGGTGGAGGTTGTTGTGCCACGGGCGGAGTTGCAGAGGGAGCGTTGGCCCCCACTGTGGCGATGTATTGTATCACTGCTTCAATGGCAGCATGAGCTGAAGCTTCCGCAATCATGTGTTGGAGGGCCTCTTCAGTTAGCTGAACCGTTTGAGAAGCGGGGAGTGGTGGATCACGTGGGTGATTTATCTAGACTTCACGAGGTGGATCCTGATTACGAGGAGGAAATGGCAAGCCAGAGCCTCCGCGGGGTGGGAAGTTGTTAGCATTGTCACGTTCTCTTCGAGTAGATGACTCAGGGACATCATGCGCGCTACGTGATCTTGTATCACTTCCCGCAGACGGCGTCATTATGATGATGCTAGAAATATATCACTTTAAATAATTGAGGTAAAAGGAGCTGTGAGAGCAAAATGGATCACTGCTCACGTGTTAGATGGTTCTGAGATATCCGCGAACAGAGAACACGTGAACTAGGCGGGTGGTTAATTCGGCCGAAACCCCTCCAACGCTCAAATCAGACGTGCGGATAGTAGAAATAGTTGAGAGAATATGAATTGTATTATTTTTTCAGACAATGTGGCGTCCCTTTAATAAATGAATTAAATCGTTATTTATATCTTGTCGATTGGGCTAATGTTAATTTGTTGGGCATAAACCTTATTTGAAGGTGATTGGACTTTCGTAATAGTGTTCTTCTAAACCGTTTGTAGCCATTTTGGGGTGGGTGGGTTTTACAGTGATTTTTTCGTCCGAAAAAGAGGAGACCAGAGGAAAGAAAGAGAGAAGAAAGAGAGCGGATTGAAAGGAAGAAAGAGAAGATGAAGAGAGAGAAAATGATGAGAGTGAAAAAAAAAAGAGAAAATATAAAAAATATATTAAATTCACATTGAGGACTGATCTGCATGTTAGACGTGTGAGTATAGACTGATTTGCTTGGGGAAACTACATAGGGACTGATATGTGTTTTGTATTTTGGATTAGGGATTTATATGTAGTTCCCATATTATAATTAGTTGTTTATTGTTTTTGACTTTAAGCCATGTCATTTTCAAAAGCTTAAGTTAATCAAGTGGACTTCTGCCATTCAGGCAAAGTTGCAACTTGCACGTTAAAACTGCAGAGGAATGGTCCTCATTTGAAACAAGTGAAAATCAGAATCTTGGTTGAATTTATACTTTCTGTTTGTACAGGTCTATGATACGGACAATGCAAATCAGAAGGAAAAATTCGAGGCGGACTTGAAGAAGGAGATAAAGAAGCTACAGAGATACAGAGACCAGATCAAAACATGGATACAGTCCAGCGAGATCAAGGATAAGAAGGTATATCTACTGCTAAACTAGTACCTTATTATCTAATCCCATCGTTTTCTTTACTCTCCTAGAATTTGTGGCTTATTTATTTTTAGTAATATTTTTTAGCAATCCTAATTCCTAACTGGCAGCCTAGTTACCGTATCAATTTTTTTATGAATACAATTTGAAGAGTTTGAACTGTCTTTATTCAAGTTGGCCAGGCTTTTCGTTTTCTTGTTTCTCATGCATTTATGCACTTTATTGATTGTTGCTCCTACTCCTGTTCTCTTGTTGGCATACTCTTTTGCACTTCTTTTTCGGCAAATTGTTTTTCATTGTTCTATGGTGGATTTAGTTTTATAATATATTCTTTGGTTCTTCTTGCAGTAGCTGGTATTATCTTCATCTTGTCTATGCTTATTTCTCCGATGTTGACAATCAATTTTCTTTTGATACCTGTTGACTAGGTTAGTGCCTCTTATGAGCAAGCTCTGATGGACGCTCGAAAGCAAATTGAGCGTGAAATGGAACGATTTAAGATATGTGAAAAAGAAACGAAGACAAAAGCATTCTCAAAAGAAGGCCTAGGCCAGCAGCCTAAAACGGTAGGCATTATGTAGTTGTTTTGCTTCTGGATGTTCAAAACATCCCCAATGCCTGTATTCTGGTGTAAGTTTCATTACAATTCACATCCTTCAGGGGTGCAACGGGTAATTGCTGAAAATTAATATTTCAATATATACAAGTTGATTAAAATTAATGTCAAGTGAATAATATCAATCATCCGTCAAAATGTAACTATACGGTCACTTCTTTGTAATATAGTTGAAGAGGGAGAAATATCATGGATATTAGGGATTTTTTTTATTATATGGGCTATCTCGTGCAATCAATTTAAGCATGTAAAGCCTGCTGGTGTTAGGTTAGTGTTTAGAATATTCTAACTTCTCTGAGCATGCATATCTTTCTTTGCTGTAGGATCCGAAGGAAAAAGCTAAAGGAGAAACAAGAGATTGGTTAAATAATGCGGTAATGCCCCTGAAATTTTGCTTGCATGTTGTTCACTTGGATTGCATAAGCATAGAGGCTGTCTAGCATGTAAAATTATCTCATCCATGTTCATCAGTCTTCCATCTTCCTACATTTAACTGTAGTTTCAATAATTTGATTATTTGGCAAGTGAAGCTGTACTGGTTAAAGCCAATGCATATTATTTGATTTTCTTTCTACTTGTCAGTTTATTTGCAATTGTTGTCATGCTTTCAGTTGTTTAACTGTTCATGTCTTGATGATCTCATTGAAAGTTCAATTATCTGTATATTCTTGTCCACTAAAGTAGTTGTCAGGAGTCGATGGCTGAAATGTTAGGGTACTTTTGGATATAAAATTGCCCCTTTAGATTATGGAACATCATATGTTTGTGTTCCAGAGAGAAAACTAGAGCATTTTACCGATTCTTACTTCAGACATTGAATTGCATACTGTAATCTATTATTCCGCCTTCCAAATAAGTTTTTTAATAGTTTTTTGAAATATGTTATGTTTGTATTGAGTAGGTCAGCGAGCTGGAAAATCAAATTGATAGCTTTGAAGCTGAAATAGAGGGGCTTTCTGTTAAGAAAGGGAAGACAAGGCCTCCCAGACTGGTATGTTTGGAAAGAAGGACATGCGTCTTAATTTGGATCAACTGACTTGAGCTTAGACTATGAAAATATCTGTTCTTTTTGTTATTTTGGTTGTAGACGCATCTGGAGACATCCATTGGTCGGCATAAGGCTCATATTATGAAGTTAGAATTAATTCTAAGGCTGTTGGACAACGATGAATTGAGCCCAGAGCAAGTCAATGATGTAAATGACTACGTGAAAAGAAATCAGGTACTTTAAGTCAATTTACGTTAATGTTCTGTTCACACGATTTAGCTTCCCAACAGGTTGTATTGTCTGCGATCTCTGAAATGATTAGGTATTTACATTTCCAATTTTGGTTGTAGTTATTGAGGAATGTAAAGGTTTTTGGGTGGTTAAGCTTAATTATACTTTCCTTTTGGCATGCAATATGTAGGAGGACTTAGATGAATTTAGTGATGTCGATGAGCTTTACAGTTCTCTACCTCTGGACAAGGTGGAGTCTCTTGAATCTCCCCTAGGCAATAGAGTAATCTTGTCACAAGCTGCCAAGGCTAGTGATGGACTTGGATCAGCTGATACTGGAAATGTTAGCGATGCTGCGATTATGGGCAGCAGGGTTTTCACTTCTCCTGTTGTTCCTGGTATGCAGTGGAGGCCCGGAAGTTCCTTCCAGAACCAGAACGAAGCGGTATGTTATTGATTTATTTTCTGACCTTTCATCCCCCTTCTATCATTTTCGTCTTTCTTTTGAGTTTTTTGCAAGGTATGAAGGATTTGATTGGATTATGTCAATGGCGCAAGAAGAGAATGACTTGGGTTCATGTGCGCTTTAGTATTTGATTTAGCTCTTCCAGCATTTTATGTTAAACCTAGAAATTTGTAAATAGGATATATGAACTGAATACAAATACACTAGTACAGTGATAAGATTTGTTTGTCAAGAAACAAAGCAGATACATATTAGGAATTCAACTGGTAATAGGTACAACATAAGAAGGAGATAGATTAAAACAAAAATGTGACCTAATGGTGAAAAGTTGAAGTATGATTCCAAAAGGAGAATATGAGGGATGGTACTGGTCGCATTGCCGATAAATTGGTTCATTTGATTGCTAAGACTTGATTGTAAAACTATTAATCGTCTTGGAAGTAAGTTAACTTTCTGTGTCTCAGGCGCAGTTTCGTGGAAGAACCGAGATTGCTCCTGATCAAAGGGAGAAGTTTCTACAACGATTTCAGCAGGTAACGCAGCAATGTCAGACTAATGTTCTTGGCATGCCTCCTCTCGCCGGGGGGAAGCAGTACTCTGCTCAGCAGCAGAATCTACTTCTACAGCAGGTGCTATTGTTTATTCATCACATTCTTCTTCTTACTCATTTTTCTTAGCATCTTTGGCTTATCTTTTAACACACATGTGGCTGGGAATCTTGGTCGTAAATAATTAATTTTTTTTTTTTTTTGTGGGGGTGGGGGGTGGCGACAATGTCTAGAAGTGGCGCCTTAGGAATTTCTAAACTGTGGTCATCTAAAAGAAAATTCCACTCATGCAACCGCCTGTGCATAGCAAAGCAGTCTCTTTGTCTATTCTGCATATTTATGACTTTCAGCATCTCTTTTTGAAGTCTATTTTGTATACTAGAATAGATTAAAAGAGAATATGTCACAAAGTTTGGAAGAAATGTTACAGTCGATACAATCATCCTAATCTTAATATCTGATATTTTTGCTGGGACATTTTTTTGAAACACTTTCTATCCCTCTAGACTCGTTGATTTGTTGAAACTTCTTTTCACCTGTTATAACTCCTCTCAGTTCAATGCTCAAAGCTCGTCTATCTCACCTCAACTCGGGATGGGGATAGGAGTCCAAACTTCAGGTCTTAGCAGTGTTGCGACATCTGCTTCTCTGCAGCAACAACCGAGTGCAATACACCAATCATCTAATCAACAGGCAGTCATAACTTCAACATCTAAGGATGCAGGTACTTTTGCTCGCTAAGACAATGTGTACAACACTTGTATGGTGGAGCTTGAAACATTAAGGTGTATTATCATTCACATGTTTTGAAACATGATAATACTAGGAGATTCCAGGTCAATTTTGGGCTATATGTTTTAATTCTGACATTTCTGGTCCCACCTCTGATAGAAATAGTTAATATCTTATTCCTAAGACATCAAACCAAATCTTATAAAAGAGAGGATTTTGATTGTTTAATATATCTGATACTTTTTTTGGAATCGGAGACTTCTGAACGACTAGTCTGGTACCTTTTGCTACTGTCATACTCTGTAAAAATAATGGAGTTCCTTAGATAGTTGTAATATATACTTGATAATATTTTCATAAAAAATCTCATCTCGTAGTGATCAAAATGGTATGTGATGTAGCTTCATTAAGAATTACCTGAATTCGTTTAAATTTGATTTAATTTATCAAGGAAATTTAACTTGATACAAATTTATGCTTATCCAAATTGCAACTGGTTCTAGTTTCTCTGTTTTATGTGACTGCACGATCTATAGGAAGTCTTCTCGTTTACTGTTTTAACTATGTATGCTTGTCTAGCCATAGTGTATAAAATTGCATCAGTCAGTTGTCTGATCGCGACATTGTAATAAATGATGTAAGCTGTTTACATGTGCAGAAACTAGCCTTACAAAAGTTGAGGCATTGCAGCAGCAACAGCTTCTCACAGAAGACTTGGCGCCAGATTATAGCTCTAACTCCGGCCTAGGAAAAAGTCTCGTGCAAGAGGATGAATTGAAAACTTCCCATGCCTTAGAGACTACAGTATGTGTAAAAAAAATATTCTGTTTTTTAATTGTGGAAATTCATTTATGTTTCTCTCTAATTAACATTGAAAATTATGTGGTAAAACTTTATTTGGCTTGATTTTTAAAGGGCTCTATTAAGATATATATTGTTTTACTGTGTCTATCCTGTGCTATTAGCCACCAACTTGGATTGATTATGGTGTAATTTTTATTTTGCACAATTGTGATTATTGTGGGAACTTGTGCTATTAGCCAACAACTCCTTGAAGTAATCCTTGAACTTGGATTTATTATGGTGCAATCATATTTATCTAGTTCATATAAAGTTGTTTCTATAAATCTTTTTTGTGCTACAAAAAATTATTAGTTGATATGTAATTGGTTACAAGCAGGCTGCAGTTGCTTCTGGACCACTTGTTGAACCTTCCCAGGTGATGAGGGAAACCGACCTTTCTCCAGGACAACCTTTGCAACCAGCTTCATCTTCTGGAAGTCTTGGTGTTATTGGTCGAAGAAGTGTATCTGATCTCGGTGCTATTGGAGATAACATCAGTGCATTAACTGCAAATTCGGGAGGAATGCACGATCAGATATACAATTTGCAGATGCTCAAGGATGCTTATTATGGACTTCCTCAACCCAAAGATTCTGAACGTGCAAGGACCTATACTCCAGTATGCAGCTAGCTCATCTACTATATATATATATATATATATATATATATATATATATATATATATATATATATATATATATATATATATATATATATATATATGTTTTTCCATCCATGAGTTTCTCTTCAGTACTTCTATAGACCATCTGCTAAATGTAGTTTAATAAGTCTGCATATGTTATTTATGCTATTTCTCTTCACATTGAGGAGTAGTAAGCTGTTTTACTACCGAACAAAGTGTGCTCTCCCACAGGGCTATACGAGTTTGACATCTCTTTCCTGTTCTTTTACTTCTTGTTCTTTTACTTCTGATCATCTGCAGGACTTTGACTTCTCTTTATTCAGTCATCTTTGCATGGTGTTGACATCTATGCTATTTTATATCTCTGCTATGATATAACTAGATGGTCTGCATATGTTATTTATGCTATTTCTCTTCACATTGAGGAGTAGTAAGCTGTTTTACTACCGAACAAAGTGTGCTCTCCCACAGGGCTATACGAGTTTGACATCTCTTTCCTGTTCTTTTACTTCTTGTTCTTTTACTTCTGATCATCTGCAGGACTTTGACTTCTCTTTATTCAGTCATCTTTGCATGGTGTTGACATCTATGCTATTTTATATCTCTGCTATGATATAACTAGATGGTATCCTTTCCAGGCAACAACCTCAGCTTCCGTCCAGCAAACTCCTCCTTCCCTCGACCAGGTGGATGAAACAGCTTTCCAGGATGATGCAGTTGCTAGAACTCCACCTCCTAAAAGTAGTTCCCTCAGTATTTCTGCACCACAACCGCCAGCATCTGGCCTTGCAACTTCTGCCATCACAAGTTGGTCAACTATAACTTTGCTGGTCTATGAGTTCCTCACGTATTTTTTTGGGTTAAGTTCCTATTTTGTGCTTCTTAAAACTTAGGTGCCGGCAGTGCTTCATCCCCAGTAGCTGTATCAAGTCCTATAAAAGAATTGAAGATCGCAAACTTCCCTGGTCGTAAATCATCACCAGCTCTTGCTGAAACTGGATTAAGGGCTATTGGTAAAGGTGGATTGCTAAGTCAACCAACTTCTAACATCCTTCCCAGTTCTGGAAACACAATTTCCAGCAATGGTACCATTCCTTTGGGTTCTGAAATTGGGAAAAGGAATATTTTGGTATCCGATGATCGATCCGCGAGTAGTGGTATTGCACAGTATCTTGTATCTCCCCTAGGCAATAGAGTAATCTTGTCACAAGCTGCCAAGGCTAGTGATGGACTTGGATCAGCTGATACTGGAAATGTTAGCGATGCTGCGATTATGGGCAGCAGGGTTTTCACTTCTCCTGTTGTTCCTGGTATGCAGTGGAGGCCCGGAAGTTCCTTCCAGAACCAGAATGAAGCGGTATGTTATTGATTTATTTTATGACCTTTCATCCCCCTTCCAGCATTTTCGTCTTTCTTTTGAGTTTTCTGCAAGGTATGAAGGATTTGATTGGATTATGTCAATGGCGCAAGAAGAGAATGACTTGGGTTCATGTGCGCTTTAGTATTTGATTTAGCTCTTCCAGCACTTTATGTTAAACCTAAAAATTTGTAAATAGGAGATATGAACTGAATACAATTACACTAGTACAGTGATAAGTTTTGTTTGTCAAGAAACAAAGCAGATACATATTAGGGATTCAACTGGTAATAGGTACAACATAAGAAGGAGATAGATTGAAACAAAAATGTGACCTAATGGGGAAAAGTTGAAGTATGATTCCAAAAGGACAATATGAGGGATGGTATTGGTCGCATTGCTGATAAATTGGTTCATTTGATTGCTAAGACTTGATCGTAAAACTATTAATCGTCTTGGAAGTAAGTTAACCTTCTGTGTTTCAGGGGCAGTTTCGTGGAAGAACCGAGATTGCTCCTGATCAAAGGGAGAAGTTTCTACAACGATTTCAGCAGGTAACGCAGCAATGTCAGACTAATGTTCTTGGCATGCCTCCTCTTGCCGGGGGGAAGCAGTACTCTGCTCAGCAGCAGAATCTACTTCTACAGCAGGTGCTATTGTTTATTCATCACATTCTTCTTCTTACTCTTTTTTTCTTAGCATCTTTGGCTTATCTTTTAACACACATGTGGCTGGGAATCTTTGTCGTGAATATTTAAATATTTTTTTTTTGTGGGGGTGGGGGGTGGCGACAATGTCTAGAAGTGGCGCCTTAGGAATTTCTAAACTGTGGTCATCTAAAAGAGAATTCCACTCATGCAACCGCCTGTGCATAGCAAAGCAGTCTCTTTGTCTATTCTGCATATTTATGACTTTCCGCAGCTCTTTGTGAAGTCTATTTTTATATACTGGAATAGATTAAAAGAGATTATGTCACAAAGTTTGGAAGAAATGTTACAGTCGATACAATCATCCTAATCTTAATATCTGATATTTTTGCTGGGACATTTTTTTGAAACACTTTCTATCCCTCTAGACTCGTTGATTTGTTGAAACTTTTTTTCACCTGTTATAACTCCTCTCAGTTCAATGCTCAAAGCTCGTCTATCTCACCTCTACTTGGGATGGGGATAGGAGTCCAAACTTCAGGTCTTAGCAGTGTTGCGACATCTGCTTCTCTGCAGCCACAACCGAGTGCAATACACCAATCCTCTAATCAACAGGCAGTCATATCTTCAACATCTAAGGATGCAGGTACTTTTGCTCGCTAAGACAATATGTACAACACTTGTATGGTGGAGCTTGAAACATTAAGGTGTATTATCATTCACATGTTTTGAAACATGATATTACTAGGAGATTCCAGGTCAATTTTGGGCTATATGTTTTAATTCTGGCATTTCTGGTCCCACCTCTGATAGAAATAGTTAATATCTTATTCCTAAGACATCAAACCAAATCTTATAAAACAGAGGATTTTGATTGTTTAATATATCTGATTCTTTGTTTGGAACCGGAGACTTCTGAACGACTAGTCTGGTACCTTTTGCTACTGTCATACTCTGTAAAAATAATGGAGTTCCTTAGATAGTTGTAATATATACTTGATAATATTTTCATAAAAAATCTCATCTCGTAGTGATCAAAATGGTATGTGATGTAGCTTCATTAAGAATTACCTGAATTCGTTTAAATTTGATTTAATTTATTAAGGAAATTTAACTTGATACAAATTTATGCTTATCCAAATTGCAATTGGTTCTAGTTTCTCTGTTTTATGTGACTGCACGATCTATAGGAAGTCTTGCCGTTTACTGTTTTAACTATGTATGCTTGTCTAGCCATGTGTCTAAAATTGCATCAGTCAGTTGTCTGATCGTTGCATTGTAATAAATGATGTAAGCTGTTTACATGTGCAGAAACTAGCCTTACAAAAGTTGAGGAATTGCAGCAGCAACAGCCTCTCACAGAAGACTTGGCGCCAGATTATAGCTCTAACTCCGGCCTAGGAAAAAGTCTCGTGCAAGAGGATGAATTGAAAACTTCCCATGCCTTTGTGTAATTGAAGTATTGTGTATATTCGTGAACGGAATAACTTAAGACTCGTGATCAAACCCCTATAAGTGTAGTGTGACATACTTACTACATCTTAATACCTACAAAATAAGCTACATAATATTTGTAAGT